CTCTCTCTCTCTCTCTCTCTCTCTCTCTCTCTCTCTCTCTCTCTCTCTCTCTCTCTCTCTCTCTCTCTCTCTCTCTCTCTCTCTTTATCTCTCTACCTCCCCGAAGCCCGATCTTTTCGGAGAAGACAGGCCCCCTCGGTGCTGCAGGGAATGAAGGGGCGAGCCGGGCACCATGGGGGTCCGTACCTCCCCCTCGATGCCCGCAGCGCCAAGGGGGTTTGGTGCTCCGGGAACGCTGGACCCCCTTTGGCGCTGCGGGGGAGGAAGGGGGTCCGACGCTCCCGGAATGCCGGACCCCTTTGGTGCTGCGTGGGATGAAGGGGGTCCGTCCCAACCCCTCGTTCCCGGAACGCTGGACCCACCTTTGGTGCTGCGTGGGAGGGAGGGGGTCCGTCCCACCCCCTCGATGCCCGCAGCACCAAGGGGGTCCGGCGTTCCGGGAACGCCGGACCCCTTGGGTGCTGCGGGGGAGGAGGGGGTCCGTCCCACCCCCTCGATGCCCGCAGCACCAAGGGGGTCCGGCGTTCTTGGAACGCCGGACCCCCTGGGTGCTGCGGGGGAGGAGGGGGTCCGTCCCACCCCCTCGATGCCCGCACCGCCAAGGGGGTCCGGCGTTCCGGGAACGCCGGACCCCCTGGGTGCTGCAGGGGAGGAGGGGGTCCGTCCCACCCCCTCGATGCCCGCACCGCCAAGGGGGTCCAGCGTTCCCGGGAACGCCGGACCCCTTGGGTGCTGCGGGGGAGGAGGGGGTCTGTCCCACCCCCTCGATGCCCGCACCGCCAAGGGGGTCCGACATTCCCAGAACGTCGGACCCCTTTGGTGCTGCGGGGGATGAAGCGGGTCCGTCCCACCCCCTCGATGCCCGCAGCAGCAAAGGGGGTCCGGCGTTCCCGGAATGCCGGACCCCTTTGGTGCTGCGGGGGATGAAGCGGGTCCGTCCCACCCCCTCGATGCCCGCAGCAGCAAGGGGGTCCGGCGTTCCCGGAATGCCGGACCCCTTTGGTGCTGCGGGGGGATGAAGCGGGTCCCTCCCCCGCAGGACCAGGGGCATCGAGGGGTGGGACGGACCCCCTCCTGCGGGATGAAGCGGGTCCGTCCTACCACCCTGGTCCTGCAGCACCTCCCTCGATGCCCCTGGTCCTGCGGGGGAAGGAGGGGGGGGAAGAAGCGGGTACGTCCCACCCCCCTGGTCCTGCGGGGGAGGGAGGGGGTTCGTCCCGCCCCCTCGGATGCCCGCAGCACCAAGGGGGTCCGGCGTTCCCAGGACGCCGGACCCCTTAGGTGCTGTGGGGAAGGAGGGGGTCCGTCCCA